GTGTCCGGTTCAACCCAAAGAAGTCAAGGACTACAACAAAAACAAAAAAAGATACCTTGTCACTCATGCCGAATGCCTTGACCATTTGAATAGCAAGCATTGTGGCTTTCTTCAAGTCATCTGCAGCACCAGTCGTGACCTATACGGAACTACACAGTAATTTGCCAAAGATTAGCAAAATCATTACCATATCTTCTCCAAACACCAATTCTTCTGCTACTCGACCGCCCATCATTACATCAAGGGCTGCAAGAAGTTGTCCTTTTGTCATTTGATATTCATCTTTCTCAGGTAATGTTGCGGTGTGTCCAAGAGATTGTCCGCGAGGAATTATTGTGACCTAAAATGACGATCAACTTTCTAAACTAGAAAAAGTGTTGATCAACAAAGCCAGCAATTCGAATATGAACTGAAATGGCGATACTGACCACAAAAGAACAATGAAGAAACTGTTATTCTTACCTTATGCAATGGCGTGGAATGCTTCGTATACAATGACACTAATGTATGACCAGCTTCATGGTACGCCGTATTCCTATTGGCTTCTTCATCGGGAATTCTTCCACCGGTACGTGCAGGCCCCATGAGAATCCTAAATGCATTTATTTCCAAACACAATAAACATCAGGCTTCAAGAAAATTCCAGATAGCGACCAAAACCAGTGAAAATCTTACAAAGCACGTGCAACAAATTTTTGCTCAAGGTGATGGAGAGCGAGTATTAACAAACTGAACAGAATGACCACGAGATAAATATTACTGACCTGTCTCTAGCTTCGTCCAAATGCTGCATAGTCACCTCTGGCGCACATTCTTTCGCAGCTTTCAACGCAGCCTGATTCACCATATTCTCAATATCAGCGCCAGTGAATCCGGTGGATCCCTGAAAATTGCAGTGTGTCAGTCAAATTACCAGTTACTCAGTTATCCACTCACCTTGGCCAAAATCCTTGGGTCGACGTTAGGCGAATGTACAACCCTTTGCAGGTAAAAATCGAATATGTCAATGCGACCCGCCAAATCCGGTTTCGGTACAGTTACCCGCACATCAAAACGACCAGGACGGAGCAAAGCCTGAGAGCATGTAATAGATATAGCTTTCAAATATCAAAGTAACTGCAAACATACTTTATCAAGATCCTCTACACGATTTGTGGCCGCGATGACAATGACACCTTCATTTCGATTAAAACCATCCATTTCACTAAAAAAAAATCAAAATACAAATGCGGTGAGGCGAGAAAAAAAGTCATTGAAACTGGAACAAACACTCAGTGCGCACGGATATGTGTTTCTCATACAAATATGATAAAACTAAAGCGATTAAAATAAAATGTAGGTGTAAGAGATACATTACCTTAGCAACTGGTTGATAGTCTGGTTAGCATACGGATGAATACTGTTTGACACTCTCTTTGATCCGACGCTATCAACCTCATCGATAAAGATGATGCAGGGAGCTCTGAAAAAAAAAACTGTTTGAAACATCCAAAAAAAATCTCTGCGTGTTCAGCACACCTTGCTTTCGCCTTATCGAAGAGATCTCGAACTCGTCGTGCTCCCTGCCCCACTAAGACCTCATCGAATTCGGATCCGGAAGTGTGGAAGAACGGTACCTAAAAACCGAATTCTCAAAACTCATAAGATAGGATCTGAACTTTAGCATGGCGGCTAAATTCAATAAATTCAAACAATCAAGAGAATCTATCATAAGTTTCAGCTTATTTACAAGGTTACGTCAACGCAGTCAAATTCACCAACCTGAGCTTCTCCAGCTACTGCTCTGGCAAGAAGCGTCTTTCCAGTTCCTGGTGGACCGACCAGCAGAACTCCTTTGGGCAGTCGACCGCCTAGTCGAGAGTATCTCTCCGGATCACGAAGATATGAAACGATCTCCTCCACCTCTTGCTTGGCTTCATCCATCTAGA